CCAGCTGCAACTGTCAAGAATCACTACGTTAAATATGCTATACAGAGTTGGTTTTTGCAGTACTGAACATACAAGCTCAAACAAAACCCAGCAGCCAAAAAAAAAAATCCAAGGAGAAAGGGAATCTATGGGCATAAGCAGATACTCAGTCTTGTGCTGCATTGTACAGAAATGCAAGACTGTAGTTCTGTAATGTAACGATAGGGATATTGCTTTATAGCTTAGGAAGTTGCATTACTCCATTTACTCCGTTTGACCTGAGCATGCTGCCAACTAACTCTATTAACTTACTGTAAGCTAAGTCCTGTTTTCCTCAGCAGAGCAAATCAAACAAGAGATGATGTTTCCTTTGTTCATTTTTTCGAGATCTTTCCAACCAGCGACATATAAAAAGTTCCATCTTTTACAGCTTTTTCACAAGGCTGTGTGCCTGAAGTTTGTTATTCTGTTTTCTGGATCCTTCCCTTTTTTAATGGTATTCCTCACTTTCTCCTCACACACATTTCCAGCACTCCAATTCAAATTCCTGAATTTAACAGATCAAAGAGCTGTCCTTTGGCTGTATAGTTAGTTACTAGTTCAACCTCTCATGAGACATTTCCAGGTCTCTAATGCTTCAGTCTTCTATTAAGAAATTACTTCTACTGCTATTTACCGGGTTTATTTATGCACATGAAAAACCACTGTTTCCACACCAATTTCAACAAATTTCTTCTTTCAACATAATTAAGATTTGCTTTAGCAGCCTAATAAGCTATTATGTTGCTAAAAATTTACTGAAGGGCAGACCATTCAAGAATTTGTACACTGGTTATGGAGAGCAGGAAGGGGGATGATTCAGATTTCTTTGGGCATCTTGAATGCTGCAGTGATCATTCAGTGTTCAAATCACAAAACAGAAGATTGGATTCAGACTTTTAAATTTACAATCTGCTCTAATCGACCCTGCTTTGAGGAGGGGGTTGGACTGATAACCTCCAGAGGTGCCTGCCAACCTCAGCTGTTCTACAGCATAGCACTGCAAAAAACTCTTACCATGAATAAGCTGTACCTGGCCCAAAATGCATAGGTAGTGTGTCTACTATATTTTTTTTTTTTACAATCTCTGGTTTATCAGCTACATCAGAGTATATTCCTTCCTCTTATTTTTTCCTCTTATGAAGAAAAACAGGAAATAGCAAGAATTTTATTTTGGTTGTAAATTTTCATCTTTTGTTGAGATTCCAAATTATTTCTCAAGTTATTTCAGCACTCTTGTCTTTCTTGGATTTCTTCATCATTGCTTTGTTGATGATTTGTTCAGCACCTCCTGCAGTCTGTCAACATCTTTCTTAAACCAGTGTCAGATTAAATAGGAAACCCTACTCATAATAATCTGCAAACCAGCAGATCACACTGAGAAAATCAAGCACTCATGAACTATATACTTGGAGTTTCTTCCCAGATATCTGTAGTTCTTTCCAATTCTTGCATTGCCTCAAGATCTACAAATCTTTCTACCCCTCTTCTAAAATATATGAAAATGTATTAGCCTTTTTTTTCCCTCTTTTATTTGACTGCCAAAACAGAAAGATGGTGAAATGTGAAACTATTCCAAAAGTACCAGTAACAAATACATCAAATATTCATCCCACTCCTACATACTCTTTCATTAATGAGCCAGCTAGGCAGAATCAGTGTCTCATATGGCCTAAAACCTTACAGCAGTTTATAGCTGATCTTGGTGAACATTCATTATATTTTCAAAGCCACTTGGTATATTTAAAAATAAAAATTTCATCATATTTAAGACATACCATGAACATAACCAGATATATCTTTTCATGATGACTTAAGAAAAATTCTCATCAATAAAAGACTGGAAAAGCCTGCCAGCTTTTCAGTCCATCAATGTCAAAGAAATTTTAAAAAGGGCAAATTGCAGATATAAGTTAAAATATATTTTGCAGTTACTACACGTGAGCAACCATGAGAATCAATAAAGACATACATTTATCATTTTGGTCACATGAACACTGAAAAAGTGCCTTCTCATCTTGCCCCAGAAAATGAGAGATATCAAATGATCTAATAAAAATGAAACAAAATAATCTGAGTTAAACTCAGCAGGACAAATTTTCCTGATACTTTCAGCAGTACAGTTCCCCCGAAGTCATATGGAAATGCATTAGTTCATCTTAGCAGAACTTGGCACAGCAAGCAGTTTTGTACTGTTCATTCTGAGTACCAGCCCATGAAATGTTGCATCTCTAACTTCCATATGGCTACATGTTAAGTAAGATTACACAGTTCCTTTACATCTTAGCATTTTATTCTAAGTATTTAATTCATAGCACATCATGAGTCAGGCTGTATTCTCTGTGTCTTTTTCTGGAGCTTTTTTTTCCTTTCTCTATGTTCTGTCCCAGTGATGTCCAACAGTTAGGACTGGAAATAACGTTGCCCTTCCGTGAGAAGCTTTCCACTGATTTCAACAGATTTTTAGATCAATCTGTTGCTGTCAAATTTATGAAACAGGAAGTTTTATAAATTTGCAAAACATAATTAATTGGCAATTCCACCTGGCTTTTGTCAAGGAACTCAGGTTATTTTCAGATATGTTAGGATATACAGACAAATGTAATATTTAAATTAATAAAAGACAGACCTATAAATAATGAACTAAACTGAAGTCATGCTGGCACATCTTACTCTGGTAAAGAGTTGTAGTGCTTTTGCAGAAACTCAGAGTTTTGCACAGGCTCCTGCAGTAAGGCAAAGCATAGCCAGGCATACAGAAAGAGGAATAATGCACAGGAATAATGACCTAAGCACCTGTATGAATTTGCACCAAACTGTCCAGGAGTCTGAGAGCAGACTTCCCCACTGAGGCACTGGCACACAGAAAACAAAGACTGTGAAAGAGCAGGTGTATTTACAGGCACATACAATACAAAGATTATTTACAAGGCAAGCAAGCAACCAGAAGGAGTCATGCAACATTCTCCCAGTGTACAGGGAAAATAATTACATGCAGTCTTTCAAGCAAGATATTGATTAAGCACAACAGGAAATTAGAAGTGTGCCTCCCTCAAAGATGTGACACAGTAAGAATTGCCTTAAGAGACACAACCATCTCTGCACTTACTGGTACTATGATGATTCTCCTGTCTAGAAATGAAGGGATAAATCAGACTGCCTATCCAGTGATTCATACTTCCAGCGTATGGTAACATTCTTTCACTCAGTACTGATCTCATCCTTTAACCTTATCTGTCTTCAACCAAAGGGTATGGCAAGTAATTCATTGACTTATTTTAGCCTTATATAAAGCAAAGGGATTATATGAAAGCAAATTAAAAATGAGCATAAAAACCAGGAAAATGTGTTGGCTACTTTGCTTGTTCACTTTACTGGCTTAGCCATAGGGATATGTTGATTCTTCTTTTATATTGGGATTTATTTTTTCTATAAAATACTTTACAAGGTTCACTTGAAAAAGCTTAACAGAAGGAGATTTCAAAAATATGTTAATTGAATGTTGACAGGAATCTCTGTGGACGCCCACAAAAGCAAGATACTCTGGAAATGTCTGTTAAGATCTCCAAATTTGTGCAAGAAGACTAATTTTAATCTCATATTTCTGGATTTATTTTTATGAATCAATGCCACATCAATCTTCAGTGGCCTTTTATTCCAAACTGTTATGTATGGAGCCCTGCCAGAAAGAAACTCACAGCACTGGCAAGCTGTTGCATGAGCCTGAGTTAATGCATGTAAAAATACTGCTTACTGTTTTCTTAGTTTTCAGAAAGGACTATGAAGACAAGTTATAGTGCACTCCGTGTGGCTTGCTTTTTTTTTTTTTTTACTTGGTCCTACCCGTTATATAAAAGCTCTGTTTCATCAGGCTTCTCTTCTTGAGTTGTTTCAGAACAAATTCTATCTTATTCCCCTCTATTGTAAAATTGGAGGCCATGCCAGGAAATAGTTGAACTATCTTCAAACAAGCCAGATGGGATACTGCTAGCAATGGTACCACAGAACAAAACCAAGGCAGATCAATGTACTGCAATTCTTCACCTAGATGCACCCAATTTTTGAGTAGGAGGTTAAAGTCTTTTTTAGTCACTAGCTGGAGCAACTCTTGAGCAACAACTCCATCTGACCTTCTCAGCTACCACATGCATTGCCAATAGAAATGCCGCAAAATGCACGCTGATGCAGAATATATATAATTTCCACTGTGATCAATACTGCATTGAAAATTAAACTTTTTTCCCAATGGATCTATATAGCAAGCATCAAATATGCTTGCTTTGCAAGCATGTATTTTTTTCCTTAAAGAAGACATACAAGTATTGCTATACTTACTTTCCAAAAGAGCAATAGTTCTGTAATAAAAAGGGCATGCCTATCTCTCTCTTTGTACAGCAGTTATAATAAACTGTGTCAGCGCAGGCTATCATATCACTAATACAGGCTCAATATTATCAGATGTTCTGTAATCTCGGTTTTTAATAATATCACTAGCAGTTGAGTGATTTACATTCAAAGAGAAGGGACTCATATTCCCATCTTGTTAAGGGAAGCACAAATATAATACAAGCATCAATTTTAAGGGAAGCACAAATACAACACAGGCAGCAATTTTAAAAACTTACTCTGGTAAGAATAATGGAGTAAGATGAAAAATAAAAAATTTACAAATCCACTACAGATTGCAAATACAGTTCATTTGATACAGATGCTGCAAGGAAACAACAAAAAAAGAAAAAAAATCACAAAGTCCTAACAATTACTATCTTGGCTAAAAAGAAACTGGAAATCCCAATCACCAGGAGGTTTTCCTAAGGAAAGGCTGCATGTTTGGGACCAAACAGGAAGTTGGCAGGAGGAAAGAATTCTTGCTGACATGACAAAATGTTTTTTGTCAAAGCTCTGGAATCTGTAGCATCACAGCTTGACAGCAAAAGCTCTGCAGGCCTCTACCACAGCCAAAAGTAATTAAGCATACTTACATGTACTCCCTGTGTGCAGAATGCACAGCAGCTGCGTTGCTGTAACGCCACAAAACTATCGCTGATGACAAAACATCCAGAGTAGCATCAAACTGAAAGAAATACAGAGTCAATTGTTTTGTGGGCCATTAAATGTGCCATCTACTAACAGTAATGCATTTACTATCCTGCTGCACAGGCACAAAGCAGCTTCAAATAAATCACTTCAATGAAAGCAGGATTTACATTTATTAAATTGATCTTCACATTTTTGCCATATATTATTGCACAATGATACACTTCAGAGCTCAGGAAGTCAGTCAAGGGATTTAAAACTTTATTTGTAATCCATCACCTGAAGAGAAGCTAAGGAAAAAAAAAAACAAAAAACAACACCAATCTGACACTGTGGTACCACAAGAGTTAAAATACTAACATGAGCCTTATGCAAAGACTCTAAAAAAAAGTGTTTGAAAGTGCCTCTCAAGCATTCCTTTTTTCCTGTAAAGCCACTAATTTTCTGCAATAGAAGGTTTTGTTTCAAACCAAACAAATATTAACTACTTTTCAAAATCCCGTTGTATCCAGATTCCATGTTATTCTGTATCATCAGCAAAACTGCCATGTTTGTATTTCCTGTTAATGAAGACATGATGTCAGGTAACACTAAAAACCAGGCTTGTCCCACTTGTAAGAACTTTCATCCTTAAATCAAACTTTCTACAGAGTCAATCTAACCTTCAAATTTGAAAGCAAAAGACAAATTATTTGAAATGAGTCGTTTTACTTGTCGTTAGGAATTTTTTGTTCTGCCACTGATCAGTAAAGTCATAGCGAATTCCTACAGAAGAAAGCTGTCATCCCAAAGTCAATAGTTTTACCATAGACTTCAGTAGGGAAAAGGGTCACACAAAGTTCAAGGGAAATCAGAATTTGGCTCAAGTTCAACAACAGACCTGATTAAGCTGAGACACCTGGTGGATAATATCTATCAGTTTCAGTCAGAAACTGAAAAAGTACAATGAAAGTATCTTTACTATCCTTTCCAAGGTACGACTTCAACAGTATTTTTTCTAATCAGTCATTGACTTTGTACACCTTGCCATGAACTTAAAATAAGAAAATATAAGAAGTATTTCATGTTCAAAAAAAGACCATAAAAAAATGGTACAGAATATTTAAATTGTATCTCTACTTACAGCAAATCCAAATGATGATGCACTGTATCTCATTACGGAGACAGCTGAAAGAAAGAAAATATTATTTAGAATCACTTGCAGTATTTTCTGTATCCTTTCTTCTCTTGTTTGAGAGCTACAAAACTAGTTTCAACATATAGGCTTAGTTACACCTGGTTCCCACTAGAACAATCTGATCAACACTTTAAAAAGATCTGCAAGAAAGGCCATGTGCTGCAGGAAGTGGTTAGGACAAGATGCTTTTCTTTCTTCCAAAGCTAATTCCGAAGTAATAGGGCAGACCTTAGCGTAGCATTCAGAAACAGTCTGCTTATGAAACATGCTGCATTTCAGATGCAGTTTTGAGTAAAAATATATTGAAACCACAATTTCAAACTCTTGGAAAATTTTACATGTCTCAAAGTGCTCCTTACCCCAACTAGACACAAAATTCCACCTGAATTGGATGACAGAAAACTATGCAGGCCCATCCAGACTTCTTGACTGACATCTTTTTGACAAAAAGCCTAAGGGTAATTCACACAACCCCAAGAAATACTTCAAATTCCATCAGGGATTTCCAATCAAAAAAACATTAGCAGGAAAAATTTTGACCAGCTCTGATTTTGACTGCATGCTGCCTCCAAAAACTAAACAAGACTTTAAAAACGGGCTATCATCTAGAAAGAAAAACATCATTTTTATCATTTTACTCCATGCATCCTAATTCTATCATCTTGCAGTTCCCAATTCTAGGAGGTAGTGTGTAAGAAAAAAAATACCTTTCAGTAGTCCAGAGGAGCATCAGGGAAGAAACAGAAAGCAACAGAAGAGGCCATCACTACAGCTACCACAAGCTCTCAAGCACTGAGCAGCTCTAGCCTTCTTGCTGTGTTTTGTAGACTGGCAAGTGAGGACTAACCAAACCTGTGCTCCCTGAATAAAACGCATAACACTCTAGTTCCAATATTAAAAGAAGGCTTGGAATAAAGCCTAAAAGGATTAATTTTACTATGGATTAATTTTTATGAACATGTATCAGCTAACTTACTAAGAAAAATATATTTTTGTCAAAATAAAAATACTTGACCTAAAAAACCCAGACTCATCAATGACTTTGTCAATCTTAGGTTGACAAACACAGTATCTAGTTTTCAGTATTCCCGTATTCATTAGAACAGCTTGGCAGAACAGAGCATCTATGGTTTGACTGTTCTTTTCAGTAACAGCAAGCTGCAGTTCTGTGGCACTGATCTGGATAAACAGAAATTAAAATCTTAGGAAAAATAAACCTTTTCTTATTAATCTAAGACCTAGCTGTGGCCACAACCATGCCAGATATCACAAATACTTGGACTTTATCAATACAGTTGGCCAAAACACAAAGAAAAGTCACCAAGTTCATTTCCATATTCCAATTTTCTCAAAGCTGAAAGAGTACTGAAACAGCATGGATTTATATCTCCCTCTCATTGTTAAATCATGATTTCCCACACTTCATCTCCTAGGTGAAAAAAAAGAGGCTATATTTCTTGGTCAGACCTGCCAGGCAAGAGCTACACTTGACAAGCTGACACTAGCTTGCAGTGATCCATCTGCAAATTTGAACACTTCATTGCATAATAATATATTGCCTATCAAATTTTCATTGTATGCCTCCTTAGAGGCATACAGTTTCAAGAACTGCAGAAGTCACATCCAAAACATATGGGCATTCACAGGTATATGCAAGCTTGCAATGTTCCTGTCGTTACTGCAGTGTTCCTGTTACTGCTTTCATACGATGCAGTTCAAAGCCACACTTTTACTCCTATTTCTAGCCTGCCACTTCAGTGGAATTAGCTCCTCAGTTTTTACTAAATTGACAATTTTTTCCTCCACTCTAATCCAGACTTAAAACAAATTAACTCTATGGCTCCCTTCAAAATGAATACATAATTTCTACGGGTGATGAAGGGCATACAGCAGATAGCCACACCTTAAGAAAGCTTTAGGGAACATATTTGGTGTCTTTAAAGCATAAGGTCTTTAGCATGAGAACTGTCTTTATTTTCATGTATTCTACCACAGTGAATATCCACAGCACTAACACACAATCTGTTTGGCCTGAGCTATCTAAAACAGTAATGAAAAACAAGTATTAACTAACAGTGTTGCAAGTCTGCTTAAACTAGTGAATACAACTGGAAAAAAAGACTTTCCAAGAACTAGTACGTTTCAATATTATCTTTTAGTGGCAAAAGGTCATAATGAAAGTAGTAATGACCATTTAAGCACTGGAAAGGTAGATTTTTATATTATTTATTTAGATACTGGGGGGGAGGTTTATTTGAAAAACAACACATTTGTCTTTCTTTCAGAGTCAAATAACAATGTTCAAGTACCTTCAGCCCTGACCTAAGCACATTAATACTGCTAGCCTGACAAGCACAGTCATAAAGCTCAACAGTAAGTTACCCAGCTTAAATGGGATGGTTGTCTAGGCTCTATGACTGAGAAAGCCACTGTAATATTGGCTTACAGGGTGTCAACCAATACAGGTTGTCACAGACTGACCACAACATCTAAAGACATCAGCTGGCTCCCATTCTAGGCACTGAAGCTGAAAGGACTTTTAGAATTTCTTAGCATCCTCGAACTTGAGACCCTCGGGAAAAGAAATAACCAGTGATCTTTATGCCTCTGGTATCACTGCTGTGCTCCAGGAGCAGTGTACAGCACTGCAGAAATGGATCATAGAGCTTTTGCTGAACCCTTGCCTTCAACATTTTTCCATTATTCCCAGATGAGACTCTGATGTAAAAAAAACAAAAAACAAAAAACCCAGATTCCTAACTTTCATATTGAATCAGTACAATGGTGGGTAACAAGCAATGAGAAAAGAACAGAGCAGGCAGCTTGAAAATCCTGTGGAGCCTCTGTATACATTTAGCAGCTACACTGCCATGACAGTGGGAGCCTGCTTTTAGCTATTTTATTGGCTAAATTGGACAACATTTTATTACCTCTACAATAAAGCAGATAATCCTAATGCATTTTCCTGACATTTGTAAACGGAACTTGCAAGCAGTCAGAAACTAAAAATAGAGCCAGCACAGTAAGCCTCAAATCCACCACTGCCTCCACCTGCACAGCAAGAGCAATTTGTGAAGTCTGCCAACCCATAGGTCAGATTTTGCTGTAATTCCTTCACTCTTTCCAAAGTGATTCCAAATAAAGAAAAATACCTCATTTCCCACACATTCTATCCTCAACAAAAACAGGGGTTTGTCCATTTCCATGTGCCTCAGAAAAATCATATGACTAGGTCCCTAACCCTAAAAATCATTCCTATTTAACTCTTCAGCCATCTAGTCTCCCACCAGCTTCTGCGAGGTTTAAGCCATCTAAAATGTGTTCCTGGAGAGTCAGGAACCCACAGTGACTCTGGGCCTCTCATTTCCTTGTCTGTATTGGGAGAGCACCCTCGTACCTTTTTGAACAAACGTAGGAGGCAAGAAATAGGACAGAAAATTAACTCTGCCTCCAGTTCTCCCAAACAGCAATCTTTGGGATGAGTCTGGCTACAAATGAGAAGGTACATGCAAACAGCTTCTCCATCTGTCATAAAAATCTCCTCTTACCTACTCAGAGGGCTGAAAACTATTTTTAGGAAGCTTCTCTTGACAGGACAATCACTCCATCATGTTTTCTTTGAAATTAGTCTATTTGAAAGACCTACCTGGATGTCAGCACATAAAGTATCATGGCTTCAAAGCACATGACTTGCACTTAGCAGGAATCAGGTAGGCAATTTGAACATCACTGAAAGTGTTGGGTTTATTTTGTATATATTACCATGCATATCTTGGAGGTTGTACAGAATCACAAGCAAGAGGAACTGGAAGTTGCATTGAGTCAGAAGGGAAACTGAAATGCAGTCTGTTTTCATTGCCTAGTGTTGGTAAAACATCAGAAACTAATGTTACAATAGATATTTCAAAATACATCTATTCCAAGCAGAGAAAACCAAATGAATAATACTTTCTAAAAATCCATCACAACTGAAGGCAAAGAACAGACTGATACCATTAAAACTTGTAAAAAACTTCACTGACCAGGATCAACACATGTACACATATATTTCCCCAGGCACCTTCTCCCCTCTTCAAAATTCTAGTAGAGCAATATCTAAGGATTTTTATGTACATGTCCAAATTTTCTGCAATCAGCACAGTAGCTACAAATAGTTGCTAAACATCCAATCTCAAACACAAAGTCTGCCAGACATCTAATCTACAAGGGCAGATCCAGTGCTATCCATCAGTGTCATGTTCCTACACCCATATTTCTATTCCAAAGTCATTGGCAAAACTGTACCAACAGTTTATCTATACAAAATCTTCAGCTCATTTTCCCAGTTTATAATTGCATCAACATGATAAAGACCCCTATTTCATTATACTGTTATGTATGCATCTACCAAGTGGAAGCTTAAGTTAATGTATATTAAAGCTGGATCTTGATCTCATTAGAATTGATGACCTATTTGTCAAGTCCCTAAGAGGGTTCATTTTTCCACCTGCCTGCAAGGTGTCATAGTGACTCTGTGCAGACTGAACAGCGTCAGGGTACTAGGAGACTTCTGTCCTTGGGGAAGACTCAGCTGTGGGATGTGATTCCGTGAACAAGAGTTCTAAAAGAGCCAGACATCATGTCCTCAGCTCTGCCACTACCTGGGGCATGACTGTTAGGCCAAGAAACTACTCTTCTCAAGCTTTTTGTTTTTCCAATTTCTGAATTTGTTTTCTGTACAAATTATACACACTTCAGAGCGGCAACTGTATCTTCCAGTCTGTCTCTTACTATCCACAGGACTACAGGCAGGGATGGAACTTCTGGCTTCTGAATGTGTACAAAAGCAACAAAGCTAAGGAACCTAGGATTTATCACTCCCTACCTACAAAAAGAAAGTCCAATCCCACCAAAATTATTAATCAGCTTTACTTTTTCCTTCATTATTTTAAAGGTCTGAGATCCTTTACATAAACAAGTGACTATCTACTATTTAACAACAATTTACTTT